ACGGAAGAAACTTTTTAGAAAAAAAACTAAATTATTTTATAATCAAACTGGGTAAACGGTTTTTTTTTATTACATTTCCTGCTAATTGAATTCTGTAGCATGCACGGCTGCTGCACCACAGCATTTATATATATATTAGGCCCTGACGTGTAGTAGCTGCAGTAATAGCGAATGGAAATATCGTTTTAAAAGGGATGGACTGTACGGGGGGTTGAAGTTCAATATCCAATTATAATAACGATAATAATAACATTATATTTATGTTACACGCGGTAATTGGCGGATGTGCAATTAATATATAATATTAATAATTGGTACGTTGGATAAACGTGTGTAGATGTTGGTGGCGGCGGTGATGGTGGTGTAGGTAGTGGTGATGTAACGATGATAATAATATAATACACAACGATAACAATAATAACGTCGTGTTTAATATCGAGAAAGTCACTGGTGGTGGGGACGTGGTCGTTTGCAACGCAGAAAACGAGTTCAGCGAGAATATAGTGGCTGGCAGCGGCAAAGGCCGTCGCGGGATAGCGGAGACCGCGCGATTTATTATTATTATTCGCGCCTCGTCTCACCCGTCCACCCAACGGTTGGTCGTCTGCCGCCGAGAGCCGCCGGTGATGCGCAAAACACCCTCCCCCCGAAAACCAACGGGATACGGCGGCGGTATAACGGGACGAGATTGCAAACTATATACGCTTGACGTGTACGCTATATACATACACAAAACGTATATAATATATATATATATATATGTGCCTCACTGCAGATAAAAAGGCATAGGCGGAGAGATGTTGGCCGATAGAGGGGGTAGTTACGACCAGATGGCCGACGGAGGAGAGGACAGTTTCTGCTCTCGTCGGACGGGCTGAGGATAGGCAGCCGCCGCTATTATCACCCCTCACATCGTCGAGCGAGCTGGTGGCACGGCGCTTAAATACCACCGCCGTTGCTCACCCGGCCAAACGCCCTCCTCCCACCCATCTTCACCACTGGCCCACTACCAACCTCCACCCCTTCATTTCAGACCAGCCGGGCAAAAAGTGTACGTACACAGAAACGGTGGCGACAATTGTTGTTGTCGTTGTGTGTGGCGGGGCAGACAGAGGTGCAGGAAACAACGGATACGGTGAAGGGGTGAATAGGGCTGCAACCGCGCGCGGGCCACACCCTCGCCGCATCAAAACACCGCTCCGGCGTCACGCTACGCGGCGAGAGGCCGCGAGAAGGCTAGCTCGCTGGCTGCCAGCAGCCAGCTCCGCGGTGACGGCGGCGGTCGACCGACTGGCCCGGGGGCCCGGGCTCGGGCCGCTGCAGCCCCGCACCCCGCGCCACCGCTTGCCGACCGATCGGGTCCCGGGGATATTTTCGGCGGCACGAGTTCCGCGGCCGCTGCGCAGACGCTGCAGAACGACGACGCTCCTCCTAATATACGCTGACAGTATTTTACACAGCAGCGGCAGTACGCTGCACCAGTTACACCCACCCCCGTTCACCCGCGCGTAACGCTAGCTAGCTGGTTAGCGTACCGCCACCGCGGCCGAGCTGCTGCTGCTTGGCTGCTGGCTGCTGCTGCCAGAGGTCCCGCCGTCGTCGGTTCAGTCCGCGGCCGGCCGTCGCGACGACCGTGCACTCGTTCAGCGTACATTAAAATAATAGTCGAATTTTAGATAATATTATGTGTGTGAGCACTATATTATGGTGAACACTCGGTCTTTAATAAACTTTCATAGTAATAAAACGCGCGCGTATAATCGACCCTTCTGACCTAAAACGAAACGCGTCCATTCAATTTTTTCGGTTTTTTTTTCGCAAACACGATCCCGTGATGATGGAACACCGCCACTAAATACGTACGAGGGGGCAACACAGAGATTAATCCGTCGAATCTGCACTATAATGGTCTGAATATTGTTGTAATCGTCGTAATGTCCGTAGTATACAATATAATAATTATAATAAAATTATATTACTTATAAGTTGTATAAGTAGTTTTAAGTATGAAATGTGCCGAAATGGTGACGGCTTATTACTAAAAATATGTACATCGTTGATAGAGAGTGTCATATTATGCATTATAATACGTAAATAAATTGTTGGCACGGATATTACGACGACAGTAATAGTATAGTTAGTAGGTAGCTATATTGTTATATAAATAGATCGCCTACGACGACAACAACGGTGGTTATTACTATGGACCAAAAATATTGTACTTTTTTTAATATACATGATAATATTATTATATATAAACATCATACACACATCATTGTTAATATTATTGCTCTAATGGTCATTATAATATGTCCATTTTAATTAGTTAGATTCATTAGAAATACGTTCGTCATTAAAGAGGTACATTTGCAGCATCTTTATGGAGGTAATCGCTGTCGGCGTCGAGAGACTAAGCTACTACTACTACTACTGGGAAACGCGTGTAGCTGTAGCTGGTTGGATCTGGGCCAAATACACATGTATTAATTGAATTGTGTGCGGTAGCGGCAGCGTGCGTTAAGACAAATACAACATTTTTGTATAAATCACACTCCGTTCCCAGTTATCGTGTGTACTTTCTCACATAAGTTTCTGGGGCTGTGATTACGATGCTGTTGCCGTTGCTGCCGCAATAACATTTGGTCCCCTTCAACCAGCTGTAGCCAGCACGCGAAAAACTACATTTCCATCGAAAATCATCTTACCTACCTCAATAACGTGCGTTACCTAGTTATATAAGGTTAAGTTAAATTTGTATATTGTAATTCTAACCCTTAAATATGTTTATTTTACACATTTCAAAAATATATAAATTAATGAATATTAGAAATTTAGATTATTTTTATGTTGTATAATACACACGTGTACACTTGTAATATTTTATAAGACGATTCTATGTACATTTAATTGTAATGTTTTGTAATGTATATCATTTTATCAATCGCGGTTATAATATGTATTGTAATTTTTAGATTATAGATGTGTATGAAATATTTATACCACCACCAATATATTATATATATAGTAGTATTTAGCGGTAGTTTTTTTATGAAATAGAATCTTTTTGAGCGCGCAAAACCTTAAACTTAACTTGACGCGTGCTGTAGGATTCGTGCAAACCTATAATTCCTAACAAGTTAAACAACCTGCAGTATTGTTTTTCTCGGACGTTACACCATCACGTGACTAGTTTGGAATAGTAAATAATAATAGAGTTCAATTTAAGTTCCGTCGCGCACCACTCAAAAAAATTAATATATGTTTCATTTCAAATTCGATTAGTACCTAGTAATAACACGCAATATGCGCAATAATGTTTACGCAAATCGTAGCCGTAGTATAAATTAAACTTTAGTCGTAAGGAATATAATAATTTTAAATGACATGAAACGAAAACATATTCACGGTTCACGACGTATATGCGTAAAATTCTCGACATAGGTACACTACGCGTAATGGAAATTTTCGAAATTCCAAACTGCAAATGAGTAAAAGACTTTTTTGAAAGTTCGAGTAGACCTCGTGGTCGCAACGATCACTGCTGTTACCTGTCACTCGCCGCCAAGCGGTGCATCGAGAGCGTATCAATCCTGATGAGGCAATTATTATCATTTCATGTAGACAGGTATACAATAATATATTATATAAATCCCTGCTTTTATTTGAAGTCAATGAGTTAAAGCGGCGGCAGTGTTGATAAGTACAGTTACGAGTGACGGAACGAGAATTGGCGAACATATTTTATAACATTATTGTTATCAGGGAGCTATGCTAAACGATGACGTAGGAGTCACAAAGGGGGGAGGCCCTCTGCTGATCGACCGTTACAAAAGGGGATGATTGGAGTCGGCGCTTCCGTTCACTGCTGATGAAATCAGCACGCGATAACCAAAAGTTCCCCTTCTCCGGTCTTGTCACGTTTCTTCACCACCACTTGTCCCTGGTTCCTCACGTCCACTGCACCCGCTACCAAACAATCCCGCAGCAGCTAAATGCACTATCGCCGCGTTCCTCACGACCACACCCACGCCAATCCGGCACCGCATCGAACAACTGCAACTGGCCACTATGTGTGCTACGATATTGCACCGTCGGCAGAAGCGAAACGCACAGACTAATATAATATCTCGCGAATCACGGCAGCTATATTATAATCAATAATCGGTCACAGTCGAATCTTTTAAGCCCCCCTACCATCTTATTCACCCCTAATCTCATACATATATTATAATATATACTCAAACGTATACAAAAGTCGGTGAGTGAGGGGAAGGGATGTCTAATAGTAAATATACTAAACTTGTGATCCTAGCGTAGTGACTAATGAATAATGATTATTCTCGTTGTGTAATGTGTATACATAATAATAAAAAAATCCTAGTGGTAAAATGATTTTTTGAGTAAAGGCTCTAGGCTCTATAGACTATAGTCTATATTCTATAGATGTATAAAATCATTTCATCATGCATAATTGTAAATTAAATTGAATACAATATACTTATTTAAAACATAATTTAATTGAATTGTAAATAATTTAAATTTTTGATGAAGAAAATTTTTTTTCAAAATATTTAAACAGCATAGTTTGCATAGTAAAAAAATAGTTTATAGTCATTATTTTATATATATTTATAAGCAATACATATTTTTTGTAAGTATAACAAATTAAATTTTCATTACAAACAAGTTTTTAAATTGAAAACGTTTAATTATTTTTCTACATTTAAGCTTTTAATTTATAAGATTAAGTTTAACCAGGACTATTATAAACTTAAATATAATCCATTTTTAAAAATTATCAGAACCCATTTCATTGATTAAATAAGAAACCACCACCACTACACGAATTCGACCACTACCCTATTGCAAAATGTACAGAATTCATCAGCATAAAATATTAATTACTCATCAAACTCCTAATTCTTACTATAATTAATAGTATATATTTAGGTAACTAGGTCATTATTATAATATATTAAAATTTAGTATTTTTCACTCACCCAGGATTACCACGTAGTGCTGCGTGCTGCAGAGGGTTAAAACCGTTTGTGTTAACCACCATGAGATCAGCAGACGGTGATCCAATAGCTGGAAATCCAAGGTCTGTATCAGCAGTTGTGATAGCACTTACACTTGTTTCCATGGATTTGGAAGTTTCATCGGAGGAAAAACATGCTGTGGCAGCAGAACAACCAGCGGCACCATCTTCTTGACCACTCCTTATTGACAACGTACTTATTTCGTTTTCCACTTCGGTCGTAGCATTTGCAACATTGTCATCCTTAGGAGTTATAGAAGCAATGGCAGCAATATTGGCATTTGAATTATTCATGAGCAAAGTCCGAGATTCAGGAACTTGCCCAATCTTAGGCCCTGAGCGGTCATACGCACGTTCGCATCCACTTAAAACATTGGTGGCCACAGTACTTGAAGGTATATTACAGGTGACAATACTTCCACCTCCACCTTCCATCAACATGGCTACAAGGTCATCGCGTCTTCGAGATATGGCATCGTGTAGTGGTGTGTCACCCTCGTTATCCTTTTGGCATTACATAAATAAATACTATTGATTAGAATATTATGTGTATTATGTTGTAATCCTGATTTTAATATAATATACAATTATGATTTATATTTTTCCCATTGTTATATAAACAATTAAAAGAATGCTACAGCGCAAAACCCACCACAACATAAGTATTTGGCAACTAATAAGCTTATTTTCTGTAGGCTTCCTTGGGTTACACATTATTATATTCTCCTCTTTAAATTTCATAATAAGTGATATAGAATACAATTATTAGAACTTAATATCCACTATGTAGAGAATATAAAGAAAAAATATTTTCTTAATGACAATAAAAAACAACTTATTACACTTGGTTACTTATGTCACTGTTTAAAAACCTATGATTTAATTATTTAAGTATCAAATAAAATATGTATTTTGGATCTTATTTTGGTTAATCTTTAATATAAAACCCTATAAAATATAAGGTATAAGCAATTAGACTAAAATCCATAAAATGTGTTAATCTTCCATGATAATTATTTTAATTACTGAAATATTAAATAATTGAACAGATTTATTTAACTATAAAATAATTATAAGTAATAATAATTTAATATTGTTTAATTAATTACAAGTAAAAATTATAATTATTAATATAATATAACTGTTAGTAAAATCAATCAATAACAACCTGTAGGTTTGGCAAGCAGTTGAGGCGCAATAGAATGCGGCACACGTCAGCATACCCACGGTTAACAGCAATGTGTAGAGGAGTTTGTCCTCGTTTATTACGCGCATTTACATCAGCATCAAAAACAACGCATAGCACATGCACCACTCGTGGCTGGTTACCGAATGCAGCATGATGAATAGCACGATCACCATCTCTGTCCTGCAAAATATTCAAATACACCATGTTAAGGAAGAATATTTTAGTAGCTAAAATGAATTAACTATAAAATAACTCCCGCACCTGAAATTCGACATCTGCACCAAACTCTCCAATTAACACTCGACAAACATTAACATGACCATTTTGAGCAGCGGCCTGCAGAGATGTGTGCCCGCTACTCACAAAGTTTGTCAGTATCTCCTCAGCTGTGGGTGGACGGGTGTAATTAGGGCACATAGCAGTTTGTTTTGGTGTGAGAGAATAGCTGAGTGTCATTGGTGACTCACCAGTTGGCTTATCATTCATATTCCTTTGTCTTTCCTTCTCCAAAATTCTACGACAGTTTTGGACATCACCATTTGCTGCCGACGTTACCAGCTCACGTCCCTTTAAATCTCTCTCACGAGCTAATCTTAGTCGTCTATCGTTTTGAGTTTCATCTCGATATGCTAAGTAGAATATTAAACAATGTATTATGAATAATTTAAAAAAGTTAAATTTAAATTACAATTTCAAAATAAAAATGGTAAAACATAAGTGAGGCACATATTTTAAAATTTATGTAAAATATAGTTTTAATTACTAATCAAAATTATTCAAAAATAAAAATAAAGCTAATTATTTGATCAATATCATTTTGTGATCATGCAATTTATAAATAAGTATATTTTATCTAAGGGATAAAGTGAGGGAGGGACATAGGTGGACATAGTCCCCCTATCTCTGACAGTGGTTAAAGAGCGACCCACTGAACAAATTAGGATTAACATTATTTAGCGTTAAAAGTAGAATGAGTATGCTTACACAAACAATGTTTATACATTACATATTATACATGGAAAGCTTAAAACTATATGGAGACAGTAGTCCCTACTGGAATTTTTCCAGCTTTAAGCCCGGATTTTATCAGAAGTAAATATTGATTTGGAATCAATCATTAACTAACCCTAACCTTACAAGTATCCAAATCATGAAAATTTTAATATTTTACATTTTATCTCTCATACCAACAATTCCTTTAAATATATTTATATAATATATGAGATTATAATTTGTTTATATTTATATAAGGCAACTAGCTGTCCGACCCGGCAACCCGTGCCAAAAATTTGTATTTTTTTATAAATATATTTGTGAAAAAAATCAAGGCTGGGCATTAACAAGTTAAAAAGTTAAAGTTAATTTAATTTAAACTTTTTAACTTAACTAATTACTTTTAGCTTTTCATTAATTAACTGTTAACTTACTAAATTTCTTTTTAAATTAATGAATTAATTTTTCACTTTAAAAAGTAAGTTAAGTTAATTTATTTTATTTTTAATTTAATTATATTCCACTATTTTGTTTTCACGTCGAAAAAATTTACCGGAAATTGTTTAAAGTTAAAATGTATATCATTTGAATCTAACTTATATGGAAAGTATAAACACTAGAGTCTATAATTTAGTTTTGGGTAGGAAAAAAATTAAGCACTAGAGTGTTGTATAAACAAATTAACTTTTTTTTAACTTAATAAATAGTTAACAAAAAGTGTGTATTAACTTTTAACTTTGAGTTAACATATAGTTAAATTAACTTTTACCTTTTTGTTATTGGTGCATATTAACTTAACTGAGTTATAAAAAATCATTAACTTGACCAGCCTTAGAAAAATTATAGTACATATTTCTTTAAATTATAATAGTATATGTAAACAATGACAATTATTTAGATTAAAAAAAATGCTAGTTTCTACTAATATTACTACTAAATTCCTATAAGTATATTTTAATAATCTGTAAGCTGTAAACATTAGTAACCATTCAAACACAAACATTTTTGATTTCAATCGTAAATATCAAAATCCTTGTGTGAGCACCTCTCCAGGTTGGACCTATCGGGTCCAATTGTAAATCCAAGCCATCCAGGGACCCACTCAAACACACAAAAAATTTCATAAAAGTCGGTCCAGCTGTTTAGGAGGAGATCAGTGACACACACGGACAAAAAATATATAACGATAACCTACAGTTGATTAAAAAAACTAGAAAATATAATTTAAATTTTTTTTTTTTATGAATAAATTAATACATTGCATTTAAATAAATTAAAAAATTATAAAAATTTACAATTTATTTATCCCTTGAAGCTAAGCTTGTGGGGGGGAGGAGGAGGAGGTTAATTATTAGTTTACTTTGGATATTTTCTCGTTGTAATTAATATATTAGTTGCAAAATACGTGGGCAATTGGTAAAATTATAGCCCATATTTTTATATATTATTAATGTATTATTTTTTTGGTTCCATTTTGATAATTTGGATTTGCACCAACTATCTTAAATTAAAAAAGTATCATTAATGTTATATTATATATGTACACACACACCTTCAGTACCATTATTATTAAGTAGAGTAACCGCTCTTGGATTATAAGTCCACGAAGTGTTACATACAACTATCTTGAGGTCACCATCATCATACACTTGTTGCACATAGCCAACTTCACCCAAAGTCTAGAAAAGAAAATAATTATTTTGTATTATATTACATGTAAATTAATATTATAATTATATGATATCTTTAACAGAGTATTATAAATTATAATACATTACATCATACCATAGACATGGCGTCTGCCCATTCTCCATGGCCTTTTTGCAATCGACGAACAAATTCCACATCACTAGATATCTTTACAGTTGACCCTACTCTGATAACATGTTCATTATATGATGAGCTTACAGCTAAATTGGAACTGCCTGCCACAGGATTATCACTAAGTCCAACAACTTTTGTAAGTACGGCCGCGTTAAATGTCCATCTGTTGCCACTTGGATATAGAACAACGACGTCATGATCTTCATCAATGCCAACCACCGATCCAATAGAAGCACTTTCTATAACTCCGCCTCCCAAACATTCTTCATACATGCCTTCTGTCCATCCACCATGATCTTGTTGCATAGCTCGTACAACGTCCAATTCCAGATCAACTCTTACCTAATAAACACAATTTATTTTATTAAATAATTTTAACCATTTTGCATATGACAGTTGCATATTACCAACAATAAAATACTAAAAAGAAACATTAAAAAATTCTTCTTACCCGATCACCAATTTCTAGCTGTTGGTATTGTAGTTGGTTGTGTAGATGATTTAAACTTAGCGCTCCTTGCCTATACTGGTCATTCCGCTGTTGGTGCTGGTGTTGGCCTAACAATGGCAGGTGGTCTCTGTACACGGTTGTAGGTCCTTTGGATGGAGACACACATTTCAAGTCCGACTAAGTCACAAAATTATGAATGTATTAAAATATTATTTACAAAATAGATACAATTTGCTGTTAATTCATTAACAAACACATTACAAACCATTCCTTCAAATCCGACGCGGTACAAGTTCTTGACACACCCAGCTGTATTACCATTAATATCCCATTGGACATAGGCGGCCGAGCGAACACTGCCGGTCATGGCAGACCAGTCTTGAATTTCACACACTTTTCCACGTTTAATGACTGTTTGAGAGACAGCATTGTTCAAACCCTTCTGGCTAACAGATCCTCCATCTTGATCATCCCATTGCCAGTCAACACCGCGCACAACACGTGACCCAGGGAATATACCACGCAATGTTATTTTCTTAGATTTTTTCCTTTGATCTAATACAACTGGATTTTCACCGAGACTTCGAGGATCTTTTAATAATTCTTTTGGTATAGGATTTTGGATCAATATAAACCTATGTCGAACATTGTGTTTGTCACCATGATAACACATAAAGCACAAATCGACAGAACTATCACTTGAAACTTCATTGCCAGGACAGTTCATACATTTCCAACGATGTCCGATGATAGGTGTCTGTTTGCATGAGTTACACACAACCCCTTCATGCTTAGTGTGTCCTATGAACAAAAGAAAATTTAAACAGTGAATATATTTTTGATACAACAATAAAAAGTATATAACATAAAAAAATTGAAACAGAAATTTTATTGTGTATATATATATGTATATATTTAACAATAACCAAGTATTTTTTATAACTTAATATTGTTAGACTAAAATGTGCTTCATTTTCTAACTAAACTATTCAAATTAAAAGACCCTTGTCTTTTTAATAGATATTTTAAGTTCAAATATGGATGAAATTTGATAAATGGTAATAACAATTTTAGTTATTTTTTTTGGTAATTTAAAAATATTATAAAAATAAGTAGTTAAAAACTACTAGGAAAAAGTTAAACTAGTGCCGTTTATACTTAGATTAACTAAAGAAACTATAGATATTATTAATTTATTAAAATGTATTAGTTAAAACTTAAAACTATTAAATAAGTAAAGATGCTGAAAGAGTTATACTTAGAACACATGATTACCTTTGTATAATTTTAAAATTAGCTTTTAAATAAGAAGTGAAGTGAACCAAATATGATGTTATTTTGATGTACTTAACATAATAACATAATGTTAGATGCAATTAAAAAATTATAGACATATATTATGACTTTTAAAGATAAGTGGTACGTTTGATTCAAGTTAAGCCTTGACCGTGTAATTTAAAAAATGCTTAGATACAATATAAAGAATTATAATTTACAATACTACACTTTAAATAAAGAACCTCAAATTACATATGTAGTAATTTATAAAATAGTATAAGAATAGTCAGAAAAATCTAATGAAAAAAAATTCAATTTTAAATAATAAAATAACTTTCCCTAAAACTAAAATTTTTACAGTAATATTATAGTAGGTACCTAACTATTAGTTTAAAAGCAAGTTTGTTTTTTGTTTAGTTAAAGTGAATTACTCTTACTATATTATTTAATGACTACAATTAAATAGAATTACCTATATATAATTATGTACTTTAAATTTACTACTATGTGCTTATTGTACTTCAAAAAATTTAGAAATGTTTTACCAATATCAAACTGATTATTACCAAGCAAGTTTAATTTGACTAAACACAAATGCAATTATATAAAAATACATAACTATCAACATTTGTAGTTTAAATATTGACTTTTCCTAATAGACTTTTACGACTAAAAAACATTTTCAGGAAATGTTTGAAATATTAAGTGTATTATTTGTTGAACACAATATTTTACCAGTTGGTCCACTGTCATAAACACGTAAATCATATTGACCGGAACATCTATAATTGGCTGCTATTCCGTTGTCCCAAACAACGACAACTTCTTCGTGAGATTCAAAACTCCTGACTGTTCCTAAAAAGCCTTCTCCTCCGTCCTTATATAAACAATACATAAATAATGTTTAGTTTCAAAAATTTGTTGTTGCTGTCAACCAAATATATAACTATTTAATTTGATTATATGCAAGCTGGCGACGATTCGATTTAAAATTACCTGCTTGTTCCATTTCCAGCTGGGGCCACGTATGACACGGGATCCTACAAGATTCAACAATGTCGGGCACACCACCGACATCGCACAAGTCCAAATCAGATACCGCCTGGAATATCGTAATTATTCGTAACCGTCTAAGCCACCATACTGCCTTACACTTCAACGCTGAATGGACAAGTGTTTCAACAGCGAGTGGTGAAAATCGACAGAAACATTAGTACAACAGTGACACCGAACAGTTGTATACGAGATTGAAATTGCCGTCGTTGAGCAAACACCTGTCGCCGCCGTCAATTGCGATGATTGTCGTCGTCGATCGATCGATAGACGCCGTCTGAACGAGAAAACAAACACACACACACAGGACGCACACGCACACACACACACACCTACAGACAAAACCAAAACGTATGCTGAGTGGAGTAGGACGCCCACGGACGCGTATAGCCCGTATAGGTAAGTCAAAACTATAATACGGCGGCCTGCGCACCTCCACAGCCTATACTAACCAACACTATACAGAAAATATTGAATTGGTACTTATTACCATAGAACAATATAGAAGCGACACTCGATCAGCTGATGGGTGAAGTGTTTACCTATGATCTGAAGTCCGAACATTCAAACTGTTTCCGTTTATCAACATGATGTTATACCCGTATTGAAAAACCGTTTCCGCTTAATAGGCAGGGTATTCTGCGCGGGGTCGGGTTGTTTCCAGCATAGAAAAATTGTTTCCACTGTTTACTGTAACGTATGCCACGCCCCTCTAGAGACCATTTTCAAGGCCACAATCGCCCGATCCGACCAATTCACGGAGTGTCGTACCCCTGTTATTACCTATAATATAAACAGTATAATATTATACTGTTGCTTTTTGAACACGGACGACGTATCAAAAGTCCATTCATGGACCATGGTATCACCGTATCTGTATATACCACAGAAGTATAGAACAGTTATAATCACAACAGATGGTCGAAGGCGACCGGGCGATGATATTATGCCGTCAAGTCTACGATGTGATAAGAATAAAAAAACAAAGAAAAATATATAAAACTTTCACAACAAATAGTTCACAACAGTCACTGCCAACTTAGAAAAGTAAAAATCCCATTAATCTATCTGCAGCTGAGACACCAACTAATAACAAAAAATTTACAGAAATATTTTATACCTTACGCATGTCGCATAGTGCAAGAAGTTGTAAATTATAATTGATTAGGACAAAAGTGAAAAGTTATTTAATCGCTTTTACTTATAGTGGTTATACCTTGTATAATATAGTATATAATATTATGTACTATGTGCCTGTACGTACCTACATTAATATGATTTAAGTTTGTAACAAAATACATTATGTAAATTACATCCCAGTAATTAACAAACTAAAAACGGCTAAGTATTGAGTCAAAAAAAGCTTGGGAATAACACACACGGAATAATAAAAATTATTTAAGCTTTAAAAGGACGTCGCACTCACATATGTTGTCTCCGTCTTACACACGCACAATATAGCAAATTTTCGTTCGCTAGTTTCAATAGGGTGCCGTCATTTTTGATTTTGGAGTGAATTGACCTATTATCAAACTCTTACGTAACAACATTATCTGTGTTCTCTCGTTGGTTTTTTAAGATATTTTAATTTTTAAGTGAGTTATAAGCATTTTCAAACATTAATATTTTACATACTGATAACTCACTTAAAAATTAAAATATCGTAAAAAACCATCTAGAAAACACAGATAATGTTGTTACCTAAGGGTTTGATAATTGGTCAATTCACTCTAAAATCAAAAATGACAGCACCCTATTGAAACTAGTGAACGAAAATTTGATATATCGTACGTGTGTAAGACGGAGACAACACATGCGGGTGCGACGTCCTCTTAACTTTAACAATTTAAACAACAGTCATCATCATAAACTGTATAAAATCAATATACAATTATTATCATCGTTTTCTTTTTATATTACTTCTTTATGTACATACTACATAATATATTAATATGTGTGCGAATATAACTTTAAAGGTCCCCACACACTGTAGCCGTGGCGATGGCAGTGGCTGTGGATTGCTGCTGCAGGACGCATTCCACCGCTCATCTCGGCGGTAAAGGCAAGACAATAAAATTTAACACTACCGCCACCGCCACCGCTGTTGTGTGTTAAGGGGACCTTAAGTAATGTATAAAAAAATATAACTGTAATTATATATAATATTATGCTTTAATTATTCATATAAAATAACCATAAGTACGATTGTCCATAGTAGATATTAGTTAATGCGCTGTGTAGGACGATGATGAGAAGTCTATACATATTAGTCAACGGGAGACATTCTAATCCTAGTTATCTCCAAAAGCTCTCCATTGCTGACTATAACAAACAATCAAACAAATAAATAAATATAAATCTTGTGAAGAAGTGAAACCAAGGTGGATATATACACCTTAAGTGAAACAATAGTTTATCATAACTGTATTTATTAAAATATTTTGTAAAAAGCTAAGTGTAGGTACCTACATAACTAAAAAGGTGGGCAAGTGGGTGTCGCTCTGCTGTACAGTAGGTTACAAGTGGGTCACTGTATAATGGATGATATTAAATTTGAATTCAACGATATAATATCATTGTATAAGAAAAACAATTCTGAGCGGAGACGGTATGTCAGTCTAGGTATAAGACATATTATATACATATCTATGGTAGGTACTAAACCAAAATTTGACCTATATACCTATAATAAATTCCAAATTAATCATATCACAATATCCATTAGGTACTTATAACGCGTTATACATCAACAAAAACCGTGATACTATCATACTAGTACACTTTAGAAGCTCCAAGTACTCACGAATAACAAAATCACAACAAAATAACTAAAATAGTTATTGTTATTCTAGGTTTTTTAATATGTAATTTCGTCCAAATTTGAATTTAAAATGTCTGTAAAAAATAACTGTGTTCATATATTTTTTAGATTTTTTGGTTACAGTATGAACTATTTATGAGAACCTTTGTTTTAAATTTGCAATCCTTATCTATAAAAACTGAACATTTTATAACTTATTAATTTCAATGATTGATAATTTTCGAGATTTTGATAAATTTTGTCAAAATTTGATCTTTAAATGCTTATAAAAAAAAACTGTGAATATGTATTTTTAATATTTTTCAACTCCTATTGTAACAATATATCAAGAGCCTTGTATTAAATTTTTACACTTTTTGGCCCAACAGATAAAACTTTATTGATATTTATAGAAAAAAAAACTAAAAAAAATTGAAAGCTGTAAAGGTCCATAAACAGCTCAAAAAGAGTCAAAATATTTTCAAAATTGTATGGTGTATAGGAAATTCTAATATAAACATTCAGTGAAATTTTCATGTATCTACAGTTATTTGTTTTTGAATTACAACAAAATAAGGAAATACATGAGAAATCGAGTGAATATCCAATGTTGTAAAAATTTGAATTTCAAACGCTCATAAAAATTTAATTTGACTTTCTTATAGACATTTTTCTTTTGATAAAGGTAGACAAACTTATAAGGAATCTTGTGTTTAATTTTCAAATCTTAGATTTAAAAAGAAAAATTTACGAATTCTTAACTCAAAATAATTTGCTAATTTTCTTGATTTTCCCATATTTTGTCAATTTTTGAACTTTAAATGCTTATAAAAAAAATTGTGACCAAGGATTTTTAATATTTTTCATCTGCCTTTGAAACAATATATTAGGAGCCTTCTATTAAATTGTCAAGCTTTCGCAACCAACAAATAAAATTTTATTGATATTTTTAGAAAAAAAACTAAAAAAAAATGGAAAATGAAAATGTCCCTAAACAGTTCAAAATAAATCAAAATATTTTGAAAATGTTATCGTGTATAGAAAATGCAAATATAAACAACCAGTGAAAATTTCATGTATATACGTTCATTTGTTTCAGAGGTACACCAAAAACCAAAATCGATTTTTTGGAAAACCAATTTTGTGTAAAAATTCCCGTTTTTCCTTAATTTTTATGTTGTTTTTCCCGGCGCTTGTGAAAACTACTGTGAAATTTATACTTTTGACCCCCCAAAGTACCAACTAGATTCACTTTCCTATCAGAAAAGCTACTGATGAAGAAAATCCAAGCACTTTACTGTCCTAAAACGTGATGACAGACACAAAAAAAATAAAAAAAAAAACACACATCATTGTAAAATCAATACATTCATCGTTTCACTCAGAATCTAAAATATGGTTTTGGGTTAAATTAAATATCAGTAGTAAGTAGTTAGGTACTATAACAGGGGCGGACCCAGGGGGGGTTTGGGAGGTCAGCTGACCCACAGTTGTTTTCCCAGTTAAATGTGGCCCCTCGAAATGGCAAACTATATAAACATTTTTTTATTTGAAAAAATTATGTACAGTGGTGAATTTAGAGGAGAGGCACGTGCCCCTTGTCAATTTTCTGTCGACAAGTTGTTATGTAACTACGAGTATCATATAAATGAAACATACAGTTGATAAGGATAATACTACCAACTATTAATTATTACTTATTATAATCATTATTGATAGTGTGTATGTATTATTAATTAAAATTAAAATTATACAATTTATATGTGCCCCCCCCCTTCAAAATATCGAAGATCTGCTATTATGATATAGGGGTATATCGTATATACAGCTGTGAAGACTGAGTATTGAAGTAAAATAACGCGTACGAAATCGTGTTTAAGCTTATCAACTTATAATGTACGTACCTAAAATTCGATAAACACAAGTATAAAAATATGTTGGATATAGATATTATATAAGATTTTATGAAGTTGACATAGATGAAATTGATATAGAAGTGGAATACCGTTCATTACATCTAGTTTACCAACAAATGGCAAAACTATTGAAACTGGAGTAACTGGACCTTTAAAATTAAATGATGTATTGAAAATTCATGATATCACGAGGACACGAGACATGGTTTCTTCATATCCAAATTTATATACTTTGTATAAAATTTTTTATACACTATACCAGTCAGCAGTGCGACTGCAGAAAGAAGTTTTAGCGTTCTAAAACTTCT